CTTTGATGGTCCCCCGGTGAGACAGCGGTAATTCTTCGGACTTACAATGCTAAAATCAGGGGTTCGATTCCCCTCGGACAGCCCGATGTGGCTTTGCTATAAGAAAACACACAAACACACTTACCTTGATGGTCCCCCGGTGAGACAGCGGTAATTCTTCGGACTTACAATGCTAAAATCAGGGGTTCGATTCCCCTCGGATAGCCCGATGTGGCTTTGCTATAAGAAAACACACAAACACACTTACCTTGATGGTCCTCCGGTGGGACAGCGGTAATTCTTCGGACTTACAATGCTAAAATCAGGGGTTCGATTCCCCTCGGACAGCCCGATGTGGCTTTGCTATAAAAAAACACACAAACACACTTACCTTGATGAGTTCATGTGGCGCCAGTACTACGGCAAACAGATTCACGAGACATTTGATAGACTAATAGAATACATTTCACAATGGTATGTTGTACCAAATCAATAATAATAATTATTATTAATAAATATTTTCAACATGGAGGTTAGGTATCTGTTTTCTACCACCTAAGAACGAGAAAAGGTAGTTTTTCTTCTGTTAGTGTCAGGTTCATGTTTAAGTACTGTGACGTTCTGTTCAGAAAAAACTGTGTTTGTTTTTACTCATATGCTCATGGACTTGGGAAGGGTTTTTTGTTACGTCCTGTTTCACCTATGTAAAAGGTTTGGACAACTGTTATACTTTATTTTGTAAATGTTTCATGTTTTCTTATCATGTGTTTAATTTTTATTCCAGGGGTGAAAACGAATCTAGGTGTTATGTTAAGGTTATATATTTATGTGCCTAGGTGTTATGTTAAGGTTATATATTTATGTGCCTAGGTGTTATGTTAAGGTTATATATTTATGTGCCTAGGTGTTATGTTAAGGTTATATATTTATGTACCTGGGTGTTATGTTAAGGTTATATATTTATGTACCTGGGTGTTATGTTAAGGTTATATATTTATGTGCCTAGGTGTTATGTTAAGGTTATATATTTATGTGCCTAGGTGTTATGTTAAGGTTATATATTTATGTGCCTAGGTGTTATGTTAAGGTTATATACATTTATGTGCCTAGGTGTTCTGTTAAGGTT